AAACCCCAACAACCTTTGACATACAAGCAGATTGAGTTTTAATCGTCCAAAAAGTGATCGCCAAACAAAAACTCGATAGTTGTTCGATATATTATAGTTTAAGGTTGTTTACGGGCTGTTTTGCTATAGTTTCATAGGCCTACGAGACATGGGGTGAAGGTGCTGCGCCCCACCCCCCCCCCCCCCGAATTTAAAAAATGCAAAGATGTATTCGGGCACGGGTAACCGTTACTTGATTGTGGCGTTTGCGTAATATTCAAACAGCCTATTATCCTAACATATATGTACATGTTTAATTGGTATGTCCAGATATTTTGTTTGTTTTAATACTTCAAAACATTTCAGTTCCATTCAGACTAACATTTCTTTTCTTCCACTCTTTTATAATTGTTCATGTCAACAAAAATAAATACTCAAGTGCAAAAAAAAGTAAATACATAATGGCCAAAGCCATTTCGAGAGCATGTTAATTATTCTTCACACAGTAAAGAAGCCGTTCATCATAATAACATAGCCTTGTCTCGGGTACGCGCTTTAAACAAATACACATCATAGAAGAATAGACGAAGAAAGAAGAAAAATGAAATAAAAGGAAAACAAATTTAGAATAAGGAAGTTGGAAACAGTTACATAATAGCTAGCCTATAACTGAGATGTATATATCAATAAAATCGCAAGATTGGCACTAAAATATTTTGTGACTATTTTTTCTTGAATCTGTAAGTTGATATTCGAGCTAGATTTACCTCCCCCCCCCCCCCTTACCCGCCCGTCCGATGGGCCCGTATATCTGCTATTGGCATCGTTTTTCAACATGATAACGCACATTAACTGAAGAGCTACAAAGGAAACAGTGTTTATTTTAATTAATTGTTATTACTACATTTAGTTGATGAATAACATCAATAATATTTTATCAAGATATAACGAAATATCATATTTTGTACGCATCATATTCTGCAGGGAAAAGACGTGAGGAAACTGATAAACACTTCTCTTTAAAACCGTCAGATGAATAAAAGCGACACTATTCATTTTGCCTTTTCCTTTTCTGTTATCTCATATTCTTTTAGAATTCGAATCATTGCTGATGCACTAAAGAATGTCATTGCTCAGAGTCTGGAGTTTCCTGTATGTCTGACTACCTTCATCGATCCCAAGATCCTGTCTTGTTCTCACACCTACTGCAAGGCCTGTCTGGACAACCTCTTGGAATGCCATGATAACGACCAGATGCTCCGATGCCCTGTCTGCAGAGCTGAAACCCAGGTCCCAAACCAAGATGTCAGCACTCAACCGACAAATCTAGCTTTGAGGTCACTCATAGAGGGTGTGAAGAATCAACATCAGTTTTGCACGAATCGGGTTTTCTCGATTAGTCTTTTTTTAGTCGCTCGGCGTCTATCAGAGATGAGGCCTTGTCTAAAGGCTAGCAGGGCACCGGCCGAAAATTTCAAAAGTATTTGTTTTTACTCGCCGTACGGGTCCCGGAGTGTATAAATGAAAGCCCAATCAAATAGTAGTTTTACATTCTTTTAATTATTATGTATCTCAATCCTTTCTTTGGTTGAAAAGTAAGGCATTCAGAATAATGTTTTGTTGATTTTTTTCTCATTGAAACACAAGATAGACACAATAACTTTGATCTTTCATAAAACATAAATATTAAAAAAAAAAAAAAAAAAACTTTGAACTTTCGTTTCTGATATACTGTTAATGTCAAAGCTGACAATGTGAAATTAAAAAAATAATTTGAAGAAAAAAAAAATCAATAAATCTTCTGACACAACTAATTAGAAGATTTGTCAATTACATATAGGCTTCCATAGGTTAAGTGGAATTAAAATTGACATTAACACAATATATACATTGAAGATAATGGTGAGTTCTGGTCATCCGATTGCATTGTGAAAGAAAAGGTGTGGAATGGATCAGAAAAAGTTGATCATGTAGCATGTAAGTATCAGTGGGTACTGCAAAGTTCTGGAGTCATCAAAATAAAAATAACTTTGGCCCAGTCTTGTTAAAGTAACAAGCACTGTAAACAGAAAGATGTTTACGGGACTACACAAATGGTGTTGGGGCTACTAACCTTGATTTCCTAAATTGTCTATGCTCATTACTCAGCCAGTATACATTTTCTACCAAAATTATTTGTCAAATGACATTTATTCGTAATCTTGAGCATTCAGTGTAATTTTCGTTTGATTCTGTGAGATTGAATTTTCTTTTTTTTTAACCAGAACTCACCTTTATCTTTAAGAGTTTAGGTCCTCGCATTAGCTAGTGAACATTCAAAAGCTACAATATTGCTTGATCCGCCGTTGTTGACTTACTAATCAACAAAAAAACATTAAGTAGTTTGGTATCTTCAGAGATTCGGACTATCAGACTTCAGACTATGAACCTTACTTCCATCACCTACACCCCTCCATTGTATACTATATAGGTCTAACATGCTCATATTCGTAAAGATTACGCCTCGAGCATGCAAGGAGGACAGATTCTTGATATCATACCAGTTAAACCCGTTTCTAGTTGAGCCTGTGAACTTCTATACCGGATAGGGGTCGAACGATATGCTCCATGTTGAACACGTCTTCTTTTCATCTTCATTTTAAGGATTAGTTACGACACTATCCCTAGATTTCACTAATGGGGAAAACAGTAAAAAAAAACTCTTGAACACTTTAATACCGGTGTAGGACCTTTTCCTCTGTGGTTCGGATAGTAAAGGTAAGCTAAAACTTGTTTTGAATGTTGAAATGTGGTGGTGTACTTGAAGTGCGTATCAGGACAATTATCCTCTAGACAATCACACCCCGGAACAAGCTGCAGTCAGAGTTTGTATAGATGTGGTGGAGTTTCGGAGAATGACGTCAATTAAAAAATAAACGAGATGATGGAAATAAATCACAACGATTAAATCGAATAAACTGAAGTTGAAAAAAGTACCTCCCCAAAATGATAATGTTACATCTAATTTCGAAATTATTATGATTTTACTTCCAACGAAAAAATGCGTTGACAAATTATCCACAGAACATCAATGCAAAATTAATTCCTAAGATTCGGATGCCCCTACCAGTTTATCGAGGTTAAACTTTGCAGTAGATACAAACCTTAAGTTTTCTTACATAGAAATGTGAGCTATTGGTTGAAGCACTCTGGCCGAGTTTTGAGGTTGTTGGAATTTCCCAGTACCTACAAATAGATTGACAAACGAAATATATACATGTATACAGTACAGCACCGGTTATGATCAGTGCACCAGTCCAACCTAAAGGCGAATAGCATACATGTATATCGGTTTAATATAACTCTATAGACCGATATGTAGTTACTGAAAAAGAGGTGAGTTTAAAATGTCTGTCATTTAAAAAGAAATGCAGCGACAATTGGTAATATTTTCGTTTGACATGGTTGTATATAACTTTATTAGGCTGACGCCCAAACACTTTCGAGGCTTTAATTATATCTGGTTCATAAAATTATCATTATCCTTGGGCTGAAAATTAGAAGGGTGTCGGTCTAGGTGTCTTTGAGGTGATTAATGGAGAGCGATTGAGCTAAGGCCAAGAAAAACCAAGAAGGCCTATAACTTTGTATTGTTCATTTGTCTTGTGGAAAAAACGATGATGGTGGTGTGTTGCAGTGATTTAAATTACAAATTTATCATGAATTATTATTCTTACATGTTATATAGATATGAAAGCATTTGGTAAATATTTCAGGGTATAATGTGATTCTTAACATAGCTAACATATATTTAAGCTAGTGATTTTGCCAAACCAGAGCACTCTCATTTCTACTCTACACAAATGATGATTTTTTTTTTTTAAATAGGATAGTCCAATGTGCATAAGTATATGTTTATAGAGTACTGCTTCTGATACTTCATCAGAATGTTGCCTTATAATTTTTAGAGTTGTTCAAAGCCTAAACTCCATGTTAAAGGGCAATCCAACCCTTGTAATAAGTTGATTTGTATAAAAGCAGAAAATAACAAAAACAGAAAGGCAACACTTTTAAATGAATGGGATCAATACTAAGGAAGTTGTGAATGTTTGAAATATGAACTCACTAAGTCTATGCGCATTTCAAATTCGTAGTTCGGTTAGTGGATTACTCTCCCATTTGCCGTGTACAAAGATATCATTAATTTCTGTTTTTCGCGTAAATTCCTTCTCCTTTGGGTAATACTCAAAATATATTATAGAAACCATATTAATATAGGTCCTCTAAAAAGAATAGACCCTCCTTAGCAATGATTTTTTTTTAAATTTAAATTTCAGTCATGTTGGAACAGATGGGAAAGTAGTCCGGCACTAGATCACGTTGACATTACCGCTTTAGCCAATCTGAAGTGCCCATACGTAAAGTAATTACAACTTTCACTTTCGAGTCCCATCACGACTTTAATTTCAATTGGCAAGACAGTACCCTACATTGGTTACTCTCCACCCATCCCAGGTGTAAAGTGAATGGGTACCCGATGGGAAGAAATTCCGGGAATGCTTATGAGCACATTATCATGGTAGGTTGGCTAAAGTCGGGGTATAGTAACATGATTGCAGGGCCCTTGAAGAGAACAGTATGTGTACTGATGAGGATCTGGGTAAACAAGTCATCATTGTTATTATGACGATTATTGTTATTATCATTATCATAATCATTAATATTATTACTATTGTTATTATCATTATTATTATTATTATTATTATTATTATCATCATCATCATCATTTTCCCCCATTACAATGTCATTGAATGAAGAGTGACAAAGGAACCTTTTTTTTTAAAATTCATTTTGTATTACTACATTCAGTTGATGAATAACAAGAATTTTTGTATAAACACGATAACGGAATATCATATTTTGTACGCATTATATTGTGTAGAGAAAAGACGCGAGGAGAATGATAAACACTCCTCTTTAATACCGTCAGATGAATTAGAGCTTCACTAATCATTGTTATTCTTTTTTCTTTTATCTCGTATTCCTGTAGATCTCGAATCATGGCTGATGCATTAAAGAATGTCATTGTTCAGAGTCTGGAGTGTCCTGTATGTCTGAATACCTTCACCAATCCCAAGACCCTGTCTTGTTCTCACACCTACTGCAAGGCCTGTCTGGACAACCTCTTGGAATGCCATGGTAACGACCAGATGCTCCGATGCCCAGTCTGCAGAGCTGAAACCCAGGTCCCAAGCCAAAATGTCAGCAAATTACCGGAAAACCTGGCTTTGAAGTCTCTTATAGAGGACGTGAAGAATCAACATCAGTTTTGCACGAATTGTAAATCCGAGGACAAACCCCAAGCTGTTGTCTACTGTCAAGACTGTGGCATGTATCTTTGTATCACTTGTCACAACACACACTCTCTGTGGCAAAACTTCATTAGTCATGAGGTCCTAGCCTTGAGTGAGATCAAATCAGGGAAGGTGTCAGTACGTAGGTATCGTAAATGCAGGAAACACCCCAAAGAGGATGAGGAGTACTTCTGTATCGACTGCAGAAGATTTTCCTGCTTCTGGTGTGTTGTCATGGAGCATAAAGACGATGGACATCGGGTCATCGAGGCAGCTGTTTATGAAAGCAGCCATCTGAAGAGTACCGAGGACCTCAAATCCAAGGCGGACAAGAAACGTTCTTGCTTTCAGAAATATGTTGATTTCATTGATGAAGAGAAGGAGCGTGTGAGCAATGTTCAGAAACAGTGTACAGATGATATCAACGAGGCATTTGAGAAATCAGTCCAGCAGTTGACAGAAAATAAAGACATCCTCATTGGTGAAGTCAAGGGTAGGACCGAAGGAGTAGAGAAAGAACTGGACGAAATTAAGAAATCGGCTCAGGAGCATATCACTCACTTGACCACCATAGCTGACATGGTAACCAAAAGGACAAAGATACCGTTAAATATGGATGCTTTGGCTGCACACGACACTCTATGTCAAGACTTACAAGAGGCCTTAAAACATGAGGATCCTGACTACAAGCAGCCGATACAATCGAGCAAGAAAGGAAAAAGTGTCACTTTTACGAGAATCGTTGGAATGGACGAGCTAACTCTCGGTAAGATCGTAAATGCAGTTGCAAAGAACATCGCTTTGCCTACTAAGAATAACATGAATGCTATGATTGGTACACCAGACGGTAGGATGGCAGTGGTGTGTTGTAAAAGAGGCGTGGAGATCTTCTCTGCTGATGGCCAGATCCAGCAGAAAGTTTTCAAACATTTGGAGATTCATGGAGTAGGGTTCCTCTCTGATTATCGGTATGTTATACTTGATGGCTCAAACATTATCACACTTTACACACTAGAGTACACAAAGTTGAATTTAATGTTTGAGACTCTGAGTTACGATGAAGGTGGATGGGCTGGTCTCACTGTAGATGGTGATGATCAGATCTGTGTTAGCTACAGGAAAGCACAGAAGATCCAGGTATTCTCACCAGCCGGGGGAAAGGCGTTCAGGGAGATACCATGTGATGGGTATAAATTTGTGCAAATTACTAGTTATAATGATTACCTGATCATCAAATCCTCGATAACAATACGATTAATTGTCAAACAAGGTGTTGTAAAATATAAATTATCGAAATTAGGGGGTTCACTTTACGCTGCTGTGTCCCAAGGGAATACAATCCTGATAGCCACATTGAAGCATGATGAAGGTCTGGTCAGCATTGGTGAGTACACTAACGAGCTGAAGCTGGTCCAGAACATTATCATTGATTACAAGATTGAGAAGCCCAAGAGAAATTGGTACTATCTCCAACAGTACCGATCAGGAGAGATCGCTTTCTGCACTCCTGATAGACTCTATATATTCCACTGAAAATAATGAATGACTCCCCTTTTCTCGCACTGTATCACACCACTGTCTTCAGGCACGTATGAAGACAGGGGTGGGGGTGCGATGTGTGCGACTAGACCTCCTTTTTCTGGTCAAATCAGACACGCTGAAAAAAATAGAATGACATAATTTTTCGTTGAAAATGGACCCATCCCCGCCCCCCCCCCATCCTCCTTTAAAAAAAAAGAAGCTTTTTACAGGCCTGTTTTGTGACTTTATTAAGTTATCAGTTATATTTTGGGCTTGATGAAATGAATTTTTGGTGAATGTTTTAGAAACGATATTCCTATATCACGTAGATCAATTTGAATTATTGACATTTTCTAAAATATAAAAAGTATCCTTTCTTTTAATATAATTTAGATGTGTTTATCTTTCAAGATTTTGTTGTTGATGATGACTTTACATGTGAATCTGACTTTTTTTGGTAGATTTTATTAATATGTAATAATGTAGACACGATTCCATTATTGTGGACTCAAATATTATTTTATTATAGGAGATAATCATCCTTGTAATGGAATCTTTTATATATTGCTGTTTTAAATACATTGAATAGTTTTCCTTCATTTTCTACAATGCATTTCAGATCACTGTCCGATTATTCAAACTAGTTTTTACATTTTACCCCGAATCATGAGAGAAAATGCCACTTTTTCATATATTAATCTCTACTTCTTACAATTTCTCTAGTTGCGTATTAAAGAGTTTAAGATTTTTTGAAAATCGACCTGTTGATTGTTTGATGTATGTTACAAAAGCATTGTAAAAACAAATGTCAAAATAAGGGTTTATGTTTTTATCTGAAGGACTCTGATATCTTGTTTTCTGTTCACTATGTTTACTTTCCGTTTGTCTGTGTTTTCATTTTTTTAAACAGTTTCTGTTCTTAATATATTTTTGATATACATTTGTGTCAATCCTATCTGAACCCATAGGAATAAAAATAAAGTATTTAAAAGAAAGGAATCGCACTATCTTCAATGAATGCAGAAACATTAGAGAAATCGGTCTTTATAATTTTCTTTAAAATACGAAAATGTGTGATTTAACAGCTACTCTAAAATTGAAATTTGAAATTGTAAACATGTTCTTATAGATCCTTCTTTGTTTAAAACAAATACACTATAACCAAACCGTAAAAAGAAGAAGATATTGTCGGGATATTTGCCATACAAAACAAATGGAGAGGCAATCACATTAGGAGTTTCCTATCTACAGAATAAAACAATAAGCATTGCATAATTATCAATGTGTTTAGCGATTTCAGTTCTCCAAAAATCTTCTAAGAATAAAATAAGCTACATTTACATGTATCACCCCCAAATTTATTAATTTCTTCCATATTTCTTTAGATTTATTTCCCCGTTTATTACGTTTTCTTCATCGACGTGATGTCAGATGGACTTCCCTTTTATTATGCATCCCTGTTATTTTGGACAAAGTATGCATTAGTATCCACTGGGAATGCTGTTCATTTCAGAATGTTCTTTTATCCGTCACTTTGTATTAGTCTTTGTCTCTTTCAAATTATGTATTTCATTTACCTTTCTACTCTAGCCACTGCTCAAACTTAGTCTTACAGAATTAGCGTATGTAAGTTGCTATAACGATCATGACGTTATACATGTAAATGTAGCTTATTTTATTCTTAGAAGATTTTTGGAGAACTGAAATCGCTAAACACATTGATAATTATGCAATGCTTATTGTTTTATTCTGTCTTTTGGTTAGTATCAAGCAGTGGATGTCGGTTCCTGGCAGTTGATTTAGAAAAAAATTAAAACTCGTTTTCCTACATACAGTTACAAACAGTTGCCCTTCGTGGACACCCTATGTCATTTCACCCCCATATAATACCATGATCTGAGTGAAGGTATGATTGATTGACTGATTGGTTGACTGGTTAAGTGATTGATTTATTGATTGAGTGAATGAATGATAGAGTGAATAATCGATTAAATGAATGATTGAGTGAGTGAGTGAGTAAGTGATTGATTGATTTATTGAGTGACTAATTGAGTGAATTGAGTGAATGAACGAATATTGGCGGGCGGTCGGTCTTGTGGGCTGTCGGTCTTGTGGGCCCTCGGTCTTGTGGGCTTTCGGTTATGTCAGCAGTAGTTGGTTGATTTATCATGTAGTTTATTGATTGCAAAATTGATTCTTTGAAAAATTGATCAGTATTAATTGACTGATTGGTCGATTGAGTGATTAATTGAATTACTGATTTCTTAAGTGAGGGATAAGTTGATCGACTGATTGATTGAGTGAGTAAGTGAGTGATTACTTGATTGATTGCAAAATTGATTGATAAGTTCATTGATTGATTGATTGGTTGATTGAGTGATTGATTGAATTACAGATTGATTAGTTAAGTGTTTAATCAATCGACTGATTGATCGGGTGAGTGAGCGATTGCTTGGTTGGTGGACTAGCTTATTGATTGCAAAATTGATTGTGTAATTAATTGATTGGTAGGTTCATTCATTCATTAATTGACTGATTGGTTGATTGATTGAGTGAGTGAGTGGGTTACTTTGTTTTTATTAACATATTCAAGTTCACTAATGTGTGGTAGGTCCAATCTATTTAAAAATCTTAAATTACTTCGGAAGATCAAACGAGAGTCTCAGATGCTAGAAGGTTCACAGCTTCATGAGATGAAGATAACACGGTCTCAGATACGGCTGCATTCCCACCTATACCACTTAAAACTGGTAAGGAAGCTGAAGTAGTGTTTGCATGGGATCCTACTCAATCAACAAAATGAGAAGACGGAACTGGTAGGGATACATCATCAGCTTCGGAGGTAGTTACCGCATCATACGTCGCAGCTGGTATCTTCCTGGGATGGGCGGCGGCGAAAGCCCGAACCACTTGTGTGACATTAACGCCAACGTCTCGTATGTATGAGCATCATGGCCGGACCATTCAATCGCTCCTCCCCCATTGTGGATCTAAGACGAGTCTTAAGTCATTTGGTGCAGCGAAAGGACCTCTCTGCTTCGGAGCTGGTTACAGGAAAAACTACAAGTAGGTGTTAGATGGTGAAAATATTGGGAAACCGGCAATGTTTTGCTGGTAACAAGTCTGTAAAGACAAGTTATAACATTCAATGTCTAAAAATCGTACTTTGCCCTTTATTATAGGTAGGTAGTGTAAAAGAAGTCAAAATGACGACAATTTTATAATTATGATAATAACAACAGCAATTTAACAACATCAACTCCAACAACATCATTACCAACAACGATGTAACAATAAAAGTATAAACAACAATAATAATAATAATTATCAAGATAATATTAATAATAAAGCTATAATCCTTGATAATGGTAGACTTGAGAGTAGGACAATTTGTTGAATATACATTGATTGTAAATTTTCAGATCAAATAATTCCACTTCAGCATGTTTGCACACACAAATTAACGACGGCGCCCTGTCAGTTATCGCATAACTTGTATGAGAGAGACAGTTTTAACACGCTCGTGTCCAAAGTATTTTGTTAATATGCTAGATGTGGATTTTGACAGCATTTTTGCTTGCGTATGGGATAATTACATATATAGACTTATCGACTGGTACAGGTCTTAAGGCATTTAAAAATGAAATCTCATCTGCTGCTTTAGTTCACCTTACTTCCACTTCATAATCAAGAAATATTATGGCCAACTCAGCACAACGGTTCCATAATCTGAGCATATAAAATCATTGGTGTCACGTAGTCAATACAAATGAATGTTTATATCACGGAACTTTAACCCCATAAATTTTAAAGTGATATCAGGTAATGTTTATTAATCTTTGCAAACAACTGCATCATATGTTGATTGGTTGATTGGTTGCGCACGGGTCATGATTTGAAATATCAATAGTGGCACCGACAACCCTTATATGGTTATTATACCAGGCAAGTAGGCCGCCACTATGTGAATTGTTGATATATATATATATTTAAAATAATTATTTTTATATATTCACTTTACAATTTTTGGGATCATTTGGAAGGATCTTCCATGACTAATCCTACGTGGAATTCAAAGATAATTAACCACAACATTCTTTTCCAAAGTCAATGTCGACACTAAAGGTTGACTTCGAAGGATATTACCTTTTTTTTAAATATATATCTCTGTATATGATACGTGCACTGAATAAATGTATTTGATCAAATGGTTCGACTTAAGGAACTACATGTAGCTGTTTGCATACCTAAAATAATGTTGGAACTGGCTCGGTTGTCGCATAGCTAGTACCAGAGAAATAGTTGTGACACGAGCTTGTCACAAGTAATTTTGTACCCTGCTAGCTATGGAATTTGTCGGCATCTTTGCTCGCGTTCAGGCTGAGTTTGCCTTCATAGTCGTAATGATCGGTACAGGTCTTAATGCAAAAAAAAAAACTCCTCTGCTGCATTAAAAACAACCCTCATCTGCTGCTTTAGATGATCTTTCTTCCGCTTTATAATAAGGAAATATTACTATGGCCAACTCAGCACAACGGTAACACCGTCATGATATAAAATCTATCATGTGACGTTGTCAATATCAATACTTACCCATAAAAACGAAACTATGGCCATATAAATCGTTATGTGATATCAGCTAATATTTATTTCATTTTACAAATAACTACATGTTACATTGATTGGTTGCGTGCGGGTCATGATTTGAAATATGTAAATAGTGGCACTGACACGCATCGGATGATTATCATACCCAGACACGTCATGCACGTAGGCCGTCATGCACTATCTCAAACGTTTTGTTATTTTCCGAAATTGTCTTACAACAAGGAGTACGGACAAGTCCCTTGCCATGTTGTTAAGTCACGGGACAACAATCTATTTTTGATCATTTCTTAGGCAGTAAAGCCAACCGGGGAATGCAAGGCAAATCTGTAGGTTACATAGACGAAGGTATGTATATGCACATATAATCTGTTTTCTGTAATGAAAATGCAAATTATTAAAAGGCCAATCCGACCGAGGAAAACCGATTACAAGCAAATACTCGGAAAACAGCGAATAACGCACAGTAACTTTAATGAACACATCGTTCAGTGCGTGGTAGTGAGTACAAAAGGAACTGGGAAAATCTTCCAAATCAACCTGCTGTTGGTATATATATATATATATTTATACA